CCCCCCACTACTCCTACCCTCCACTCTGTTCAGCCCACTCATCTGAACAGCCTAACTTGGTTTCTGAGTCGGCCGTTTTGGTTTCTGAATCGGCCGTTTTGGTTTCTGAGTCGGCCGTTTTGGTTTCTGAATCGGCTCTTTTGGTTTCTGAATCGGCTCTTTTGGTTTCTGAATCGGCTCTTTTGGTTTCTGAATCGTAGTTGCTGAATCGGCTGTTTTGGTTTCTGAATCGGCCGACTTGGTTTCTGAATCGGCCGTTTTGGTTTCTGAATCGGCTGTTTTGGTTTCTGAATCGGCGCGATTTTGGTTTCTGAATCGGCCAGTTTGGTTTCCGAATCGGCCAGTTTTGGTTTCTGAATCGGCCGTTTTGGTTTCTGAATCGGACTGTTTTGGTTTCTGAATCGTAGTTGCTGAATCGGCCATTTTGGTTTCTGAATCGTAGTTGCTGAATCGGCTGTTTTGGTTTCTGAATCGTAGTTGCCTGATCGGTTAGTTTCTGAATCGGCTAATGACCACAAGGTCTGAAGGGTTGGGTGTAAGGGAAATGCCCAAATCTTGACACCTGCAAGTGTGCACCAACCCTTTTGGTATTGCAGCGAGACGTAAGAGACCTAGGTAGATTTCACAAGACCAGAGACGTTTTTAGACGGTTTTGGTTGGATCCATACTTAATACAAACCATCATAAACTTTCTGTTGGATTTGTACCATCTACTCCAAATCCAGTCTAAATGGTTTCTTTTTTGCAGCAAAATACGCTTGATCGCGCCTCGATCCCACGCCACGGTGGCACCGGACTGGGAGAAGGAATAAACGTTCATCGTCGCCTGGACATCTGCAGAGTAGCTACGTATCGGTGGCACTTCCCGTGACTCGAAATGATGGAAAGGTAAATGGCACTCTGGACGAACCATGAAGTTCGGTATTCCATCAAAGTGATGTGAGTAGAGTGGATGGCGAAACCCCAGAAGGAAAGCTGTATGATCTGCATGGATCACAACCTAAATTTGTCGATGGGTTTGTGCCATCAACTGTGAACCTCTACAATGAGTTCAATTGTTTCAGCTGCTCTTGCTTGGCAGTTCTGAATTCTGCAGTTATTTTTCATGCTACATCTACTGTAGAAAACAGGCTAATCACCCTGATGTTTGGCAACCAAGTAGTACTTAGTCTTACTTGTTTCTGGTTAACAATCGGACTTCCTGGTCTATGCAGTTGCACCAGGATAATTTTCCGTCAGTATCACAAAGACACAAAACATCACAAAAGCCAAACCGCTGTAACACCACTTGCTGAGGTTGTGTTGGGGCAACTTATCGGTGCAACACAGCTGGTGCTAGTTGTGCCCATCTCCTTCTCGGTTGGCAAGGCTTTGCGAAGTAGCTCGCTCCCGGTAACGGAGAACTTCACTGCCTCGGCCTCAAAGCCAAAGAGACTCACATGGAGCGGCGTCGGGATCAACATGTGGCGCTGAGTGAGTGAAAAGGTATCCTTTTTCTGTATTTGGGCTAGCGGCTATTGTTGAATGATTCTTTGCAACTGATTTGCTGCCACAACTCGATGCCACAATCGAACAATCGAAGCAGCTGTATATAAGGGAACCTTTAAAACATCGTAGCTAGGGGAGATAATTATCAAACATATCCATGCCAGGAGGATAAAAGGGAAATTGCATGGATATATTATAATCCTCCTGGCATCGATCGAGTCCCTGCTGCCTACTTGATTCCTTCGCCTCACAATCCCTTCTTCGCCGTCTGCGCAAACCTAACCCACAGTGCCTCCACTGTCCCACTCTTGCTCGCGGGCCTCGCTGCACAGCTTAAAACACCCAGGTGGTTGAACTCGGCGTCCAACCTACTAGCAATGGCCTCCACCCTAGAAGCAATGGCCTCCAACCTAATAACCGGGAAAAGGGTGCAAAGAGTTGTTGGAAAATCTCACTCTCACGTGTTGTTCTTGCTGATGCCGCTGTTGTTGCCCTTCTGGCATTTGCCGTTATTGCTTTGCTGCTCTTGCTCCCATCACTGTTCTTCTTGATCTTCTTGTGGTTGTTCTACAATTCTTGTTGCTGCTGTTGTTCCTCTCGTTTTCGGCTTTGCTACCGCTTTCACATTGTGTCCATAGAATGGCACCGGAGGAAGAGTGTCTGGTCCCTTCCTATATCCAAACCTGAAATCTATACTTTTTGGTTGATACAGGAATCCATGGGGGATTCTGAAAACAGATTATATATCGCAGAACAACAACGAAAAAAAACCAGCGAAAAAAGCACCCGTCCACACCCGTCCCCGTCGGCCCTGAGAGCCACACTTCTCGCTGGCTCCCAGAATTAGCACCATTTCATTCGCTCCATCACCCGCTGCTCCTGTCACGGCGTTGGCTGTCGGGAGACGAAAACTGAACCAAGACATCACCAACCACGAGAAATCATGCGCCGCAATGAACGCAAACGAACGCCGCAATGCGCCGCGCCTACCAAGACTTGTGAGTTCAGGGCAGTGAGCTGATGTGTCTCGGAGGATAAAAGATCCGCAGCGAGCCAGGTGACCTTCACCACATCATTGGTAAAGTCTTGCCTGCACGACGCCCTTTTGAAGAGTGTGATAGCTCTCACGAGAGCAACAGGGTGTGACTTGTTTTCACCCAACATCCAAAACGATGAAATAGATCTTTCTCAACATCAAACAGAGCAGTGTTTTGGGGACTACATAATATACGGTGATTCCGAATCGTATTCTAATTACAAGACCTGTTCGGATGCTGAAACTGGGTCCGGTAGATTGTCGGAGAAAGGCCTAGTGCAATTACAGGGTGAAGACGGTGAAGCTTCCCATGTTTCACATTGCATGATTCATTGAGTGTTTTTGTGGTTTTTGCGCAAAGCCTGGATGTGGGTCATGAAACTCCGGTACATTCCACGTGCCACCGGGCATGTTCACTGGTCCCTCATGGTCCGGTCAAACTTCGGTCGACTCGACGCCGAGTTGCCAAACAACTCCCTCGCGTCCATCCGTGCGCAGCACGGCAAAGAAGCGCTTGTAGGTACCGTAGTTTCCTGCACATGGTAAACACACCAGTGCAGTGCGCGTTCGCTCCATCCAACGGGACGATTCCGGGATCGAAAGAACGGATCCTGCCTGAATGCGTGCCCGGGCCATGGTTCCAGTGCAGCTTTGGAACGAAAGGCTGGCCATCAAGTTGAAAGCCTCAAGGTCAAAACTCCAAGTACTGTGTCTACTGCATTCTACTGCGTCTTGCCTCTTCGTCTTAGAATGCCTTAGGGCCTTAGAGGTGATCGGGGTGCTTAAGTCTTAGAATGCTTGTCATGCTGGCAGGTCTGAGATCGGATGGCGGCGATGCCAGAATACTCATCGAAGGATTTGTAGAAATCGTTCGAAGTCGGACTTCCCCCCCCCACTGACGCACGTTCGACGCACTTTCCCCACGCCGATCAATCGTCATCACTCCAAGGCACGATGACAGTTTAGACTCCATTGGTCGCCCCCATCAAGCACAGCAGCCTGGATCAAGTGGATAGATCAACTGGATTCAAGTGGTACAAATCCGCCGGGCGTCTCGTGGGCGGAAAGAACTTGTTTGGCAAAACGAACTTGAACAGCCGTACTGGGCCATACTGAAGATGGTTCTTTGATGGCCTGTGAAAGGGAGTCAATGGGTTGTTCAAAGCAGATCTGAAACAAAATACAGTAGGATCCCTCACTTGTCAACAAATCCTGAGCCTCCACAGTCGAAGAGACTTGTGGCCACACAGTCAACTGCTCTGTCCCGGGGCGGATGAGCACAATCAGCTCCTGTCGCACAGCCACTGTGGGGACAACTGGAAGAAATCATGACAAATGGAATCAACTGGGATCAGCGAACCCACCTGACTTCAAAAAGTCAAGCGATCTTAATTTCAAATGGGTGGTATGCATCCCCACCCAAGTAGGAATCATGAGCGATTTCCAACTCTAGCTCCAGCGGCTCCAGCGGCCCAGCCTCTTCGAGGTTGTCCAAACGAACCGTGGTCTTGGCGAAATCCCTTGGGCATCGATTCTTGAGTCAAGGCTCCGCTTCTGTTTTAGCTCATTCCCCCCGCTAGTAGGTTGGAGGCCATCGCTCTTAGGTTGGAGGCCATCGCTCTTAGATTGCATGCCATCGCTGTCGAGACTCGATTCCGCTATTTGACCCTAAAGTATACCTCCACTGCCTGTGATGTGTACTCACCCTGCCTAAAGCAACCTCTTGGGACCCTAATGAAACAAGAGTCTTGGGATGACATGCAAACTCTATCACGCACATGTCAGATGTCCTCCTGAGTGGCGTCCACATGTCCGATCCAAGTGGCATGTCTGATTTCGACACCGTGTCCAAGAGTTCAAACTGACCGTGTCCATAGGTCCACACTTTCACGTCGTTCGCTGGATTCCTGCCACGTGTAACCCCACACAGTCGCGCATGTATCAAGACATGAAGTTTGTTTCCTGCCACATGGGGTGAAAGAGCAACACATAGTATGTCCGCCAAACAAATCCCAAAAATAGGAAAGCATAGTCGTGGTAGAACCTGCCTGTAAAACCTATCGAAAGGATACTTAACATCTTTCTTAAATGGATGTTCACCCGGTAGCTCCACCGGCAAAGACCGTCCTGATGTAGAGATTCGTTCTGCTGGCAACAAATTGTGTGGCGATGGTCGTCGGAGGTGAAATCCTGAACGCCACCATCGTGCCTGGACGTGGAAAACCCGAAGCTACTAAGAGCAAGGACGCTACTAGGGGCTCCTGGCCTTACTACTAGGAGCAAGAAGCTACTGGGAGCAAAGGGCATCGCTACGAGGAGCAAGGACGCTACTACGTCCACCCCAGCTAGCCAACACGCGTACAGGATGGAAGATCTTCGCCAATCTCACCCATCTCCGGCGAGTTCGCCCCTTGTTGTGACTATTGTGGCTCTATGTGACTCTGCAGGGTCCAATAGGCCCCGGAGTTGGTTTCTTTCTTTCTTCTTTCCTTTGTCTTTGTTTCCAATAACCTAATAGCGCTGGCCTCCAACCTATTAGTGATGGCCTCCACCCTAGGTCTTATAGGCCCCGGACTTGGACTGGTGACAACATGCTTCGGGCGAGCCCGAGCGACTCCAATCCGTGGCAAACAAAAAGCTGATAAGCCGCACCTAGCAGGCCTTTTTCCACCAGGTAGTTGCTATTGGAATAGCGGTCGTCAGTCCAGCAATTGGAATTGCTTCCTGCACATCGGGACAAGCTTCAGGTGCTTCGGTGGAAACGCTGGAAGAAAGGGGTGAAAACCCTGGTCGATCAGTCTCCACATCCCCTGGTCGATCAGTGTCCGATTTGACCAAAACAGAGAGTCCAAAATAACCAGTATCCGCATTCCAAAGTTCAGCACAGGCATGCGCTCTCCAAGGTGCCTGACATTGTGACCAGCGTTATATCGCCAATGGTCTCTGACTCTGGGAAGACATGGTCACACTCAGTGACCTGCACAGAAAAGCAAATGAAACTGAAAAACAGCTATCAGTCAAGACGTCCACAAAAAAAAAACAATAAAAAACAGATTGCACAGGCATGTAGGTGAATCAATTGTCAGGTGAAACATGTTGAAGACAATTCCTGGTCTTCAGTCTTAGAAAGACCCACTGCCGGCACCAAGCATACACACATATGGACGGTTCATTCACATCGATCTCATTGCAAGGGGAAAATGATCCCATGGTGGGATGACCCCAAAGACCAAACCTTGCCTGCTGCCCACTGAGGACCATCTTCGAAGGGCTTGGAATGATCTGGCTGCTGGGCAAGAGCACGTAAATCTCTGGTGAAGTGATGGCCTGGACCAAGGTTTCGAAAGAAGCTTAGGAAGACCAACACCTGTCAAACCGAGTTTAACCGTCCAACAGGCTCACCGGTTCACCGAAGAAGCCAAAACGTCCTCACCTCCAGGTTCACCGAAGTGGATACGAACTGTGCTGTGTCCAAGGCCTGGCGCCACTCGTTGAACGCTCATGAGGCAAACGCACTCTTGAGCCAAAAGTCTTTAGTCTTCCATAGTGTTGGAGCATCTGCAGCATCTGCACTGCAATTGGACAAAAAAAACAAAGCCGTGATGGGTGAAGTCCTTCCAAAGGGTGCGGCTGAGACGGCAGAACCTTGACCAGAGCCATGTATCGTTTCCCCCTTCGGCGGGCACTGCTTGGTGTATACTAGGACAGTCAATGACCAACTGACCTTGGCTACTTCGATTGTTTCAAGTTCGCTTGGGCGGGGCGCTACTGCATTCGGTGGCGGCTGTGAGGCATTCAGGCATTCAGGTTCTGTTTGCGACTCTCACTGCGGTGGTGTCGACTTCCTGCTTCACACTGGTTCCTTGCAAGCCTGGTGATTTCCAGCGGCTCCAGTGACTAAGTTGCGACGAGAAACCTGTAACGTGGTATCGTGCTTGGTTTGCATTCCTACGCTCGTTCATCCCTGGCATTGTGAATGCGTCCTCCAGGCTCAATCATTGCGACTCGCCTTCAAAGGTGATTGAAGAACAGATTGTGAGGGAGTTGGCTGCAAGTCCACCACGAACCAAATGGAAGAAGCAAAAGGCCGCTTTGGATTCCAGCGCTAGTAATAGTACGCCTTCAGGGCAGTCACCAGAATGTGAGCAAGATCAACAGCTGTCAGCCCACTTGGACCCCTGAGACTTTCACCTGACACTGCTTTTCCCCCCAAACGGTCGAAGACGGTGAGACCTGGGAAGTCCTTGGAAAGTGAGAGCCTGGAAGTCAATCCGTTGCGGTGAGCGGTTCTTTCACTGAAGCCTCTTTGTTCTAGGCGGAAATGTTCAAAGCAAGGTGAGAAACCTTTGACCTGACGCTTGGTTCATAGCCCGCGGAATACCAGGGAAGGCCGGTGGGTGCGAATTCACACACCCCTCTTTGAGATTTGTACAAAGCAGTTGTTGGACCTGGACCTGGGCGCGCTGCACTGCGGGCGTCCGCAAAGCCGTCAGTGAAAAAAAGGAAACAATGGCAAAAAAACAAAGGGCACGGCCCCATGAATGAGGCATTGCATTTATGATGTCCGCATGGTCTTAATGTTCCCAAGAAGTCGAACAAGAATCATCTGAAGCACCTATATTGAGCAGTAACTAATTAGGGTTATATAACTGGGTCCTCCTTGGGCCCACAAATACCCAGCCACGTCTAGCCGCAAACTCAAAATGTTCCAAGAGATGCGAGTTCCCAAATCACCTGCATGGTCGCTAGGCGGATCAATACTCCATTCCGCAGGCGGTAGATCGAGTACTCGGCTCCATCACCTGACGCACCAAACGTCCGCAGGCCCCACCGTCCGCGCAAACGCGCAAACACGTCCCAGCCGTGTGTTGTTTCAAGTTAGGTTTCATGCCGATTTTGTCCTTGAAGCCTTGAGAGGAAAACGGCTGGAGGTGCTGAATCCAATATCAAAGTCCTGTTCCGAGAACTGAATAAAGAAGAGGGCACCTTGCTACTAGTAGCTTCTTGTTACTGCCAGGAGCTACTAGTATCCACTAGTAGCTTCTTGCTCCTAGTAGCGATGTCCTTTGTTACTAGTAGCTTCTTGTTACTAGAACTCTTAAGATCGGAGTTCATTTGAAAGACTTCCCACTTCATTCGTGCAATCTGGACGTCGCTCCAAGCCTGGCAGGCGCCAATAAAGGCGTGAGCCGCTCGCCACAAATTGCACGGCGGGTGATTCCGCCGCACGGATTTCAACAGCCGCCACATTGATTGAGCTGCTTTGAATCGTGACGCGGCCCAACACCACCGGGAAGTCACCTCAAAACAAGCGCCAAGCGAAAGCAAGCGCGAGAAATAAGGCGTTTCAAACGTTGGAGGACTTGCTGAGTTGCTTTCTGGCACTAGTCAAATCCACTTGAGTGTTGCAAAGGACCAAACATGGCAGAAGTTGACCATCTCATGACCATGTGATGCAGCTGAAAAGTCTGTCGTCTACTGAATCTACCTAGAGCAGCATACAGTCCAGAATGGTTTCTAAGGCTCTGGCCTACAGAGTATTGATCGCTGGCGTAGCAACCCTGACCTCCAGATGGCTACAAAGAGGTGAACACATGCAACGCATGTGCAATCATCTGACTAATTCGTCTGTTATCGGTTTATAGCTTGCCGCTGTCCTCTACTCTTTCTCGGATTCCAGCTTCTTATGTCCAACTCCGAGCACAATCTTTTCTGTTTTTCTCCGGACAAGATAGATTGTGGGGGGTCTCGGGGTCTCCTGCTCAACCGACGAACCGACTTTGTCGATCTCTGCGGCCTTTGTCAGTGATTGCAATTGCTATGTCTGACACGTTTTCAGTGAAGCCATTGTTCGAGCACTCGGTGGTACCTCAGATCCATCCCGTCTCCGGCGAGAACCCCCTTCTTCGTCAATCTTTGTTTTGGTTTCTCTTTTGGTTCTCTTTCTGCCAACCACACGTAACCTGTATGCCGACATCGATCTCATGGGTGGTGTTTCCCTCTCGAATATGAAGATCTCCCAAATCAACATCTACCGACGTATAGACCCAAATCAACATATCTGGATGACGACTCAGCCGGTCAGTCTGTTTGAAGGATCGGAGCTGATTATCACGCACGCGAGAACCGCACAGCTCTCGTACACCAAGGCTCTTCGGCCACCCAGCACCACTGGGCTTTCAGTTGCCTCGAAGGCTACCTTGCACCGAAGAGGCACGAGCATGCGATGTCACAACAAAACGAGCTGCGTGGATCTGTGTGTGGAGACTGATTGGAAGTCAAGCACAAAATCGTTTAAATGACCATTCTGGAAATCAAGTGCTTCCAAACTCATCTGGACAGCTGGACACCCGATGAACACCCGGTTCGCCTCTTCGCTCGCATCTGGTGTGAAGGTATAGCTTTGCAAAGGGTCGAGGGCAAAAAGGGGCCAGGCCAAGGCCAAAGCGCTCCAAGCTGCTTTCATGGCATGTCACAAACAGGATCAGTGCACAGTCCGAGGTGTAGATAAATGATGATAAATGTGTCATATGTGATGAGATGTCTCTCAGCATGCGCCACATGGTTCGATGATGTTCGATGTGAAAGATCGTGGTTCGGTGTGGAGTACCATGTCGCCATGTCGGTGCCCACATACTTGTTTAATTTCGGGCTGTCTCCTTTCCCCTTTCAGATTGATCCATCGAAATATATGTCTTAGCTCAGGACTTGAGCAAAAAAACAAACAGCGGATATGCTTCCAAGTCAGTACTGTACCTTCTAAGCTCTCATGATTGATAGTGATGTATTGCGACTGATGCGACTGTGTCACATGTGCTCAGTCACCACTGGGCCTTTCCGGTCTTTTCGATCGCTCAGCGCGGCCAAGTTCTCCATGGCCTCCTTCCAGTTGGGCCGCAACTTTAAGGCTTCGCGGAAGTGACGAGAGGCCTTCCGCCTACAGCGACTCTCCGAGAAAGAAACGCCATGATGACGGGCGCGAAAGTCGAGTTTTGGTGGGGAGACAAATGAGGGGAGAGACAAAAGAGATAAGGAAACAAGTAGGTTGGAGGTCATCGCTACTAGGGTGCCATCGCTAGTAGCTTGGCACCCAGGACTCCGATGGTAACATGCGAATACATTGGTCAAAATCTGATTTGTGAGCGAACAATTTGAAAATCAGATTTGAGAGACTTAAGCCTGGAAACACTATCGAACAAAAACAAACAGAGCTGTTCTGAGCTGTTCTGAATGCATGTGTGAAGTGGTTTCAAACCTGCAGCTTTATCAGATTCTTTGTGTCCTTTCTGATTTACCATGTCTCCGCAACTTCAGGGCGCGTTCATTCGTGTAGGCCTTTTTTGTGTGTTGCCATGGTACGTATTAATACGTATTATGCCCAAATAAGAGCCTGCACCACTCACTGTGATCCAATTAATTTCCTGGTGTGTGTGTGTCTCTCTCTCTCTCTCTGCAGTGGAATTGAATTCCCGTTCTCTAGGGAGGGGTGAATGAGATATGCCTTTGATGAATTTCCGACAGTAGCAAAGTAAGATCAAGGGGAAGTAGTCGACACTCATTACCACTGAAGGAGACGGCATGACCGATAGCCAGTCCACTATCACCAAGTGACACTTGATTACGCGCGGAGTAGATGGCACCGAGGCCATTCTGCAATTCCGCAGAGCTTCGAACTCGTTCTGCCTTTTGAAGGTAAACCAAGGCTTCATCATGACGGCCAGCAACAGCCAGGGCAAGCCCAAAATGTTCCTCTTCAGACAACACCGTGGCTCCCACGGTGTAAAGCAGTTGTTTTCTATTTTTGGTTTAGAGAAATGGTGTAAAGCTGCGTATTTGTTCTCTGAATTTTAGGTATAAACAAAAACGCAGGGCTCACGTGTCACGTAGGATTGTCTGCTACTATCCGTGTCACACGCTCCCCAGCATGACTTGGTTCTTCATCTCTCCTGTGTGAGTGGACGATCTGGATGAAGTTGGAGGCTTTGGTTGTAGAGATCCAAGATCTTTTGAAGTTTTGGCCGCTTGAGGCGGGATTCCAATACTGCCATGTCGTGGTATGTTGCAGCTGCTTGTGAAGTGGATAAGCCAGGTCTATCCAAGGCAGTCCTGGACATCCGGGAGCAATGCACAGTAAGGCACGTGTTACTAGAAGCGATGCACTTGTTCCTAGTAGCTTCTTGTTACTACTAGTAAGGCACTTGTTACTACTAGCGTGGCACTTGTTTCTAATAGCTTCTTGTCCCCAAAAAGACATTGGTTCCATTCTTTTTTAGGGGGGCATAAATGCAAATGCACCCTCGAAAAACCTTACAAGTAGGCAAATCGACAGACGCCACCCATCTCTTTTCGCTTCACTGTCCTGAGCCATTGGAGCCCTTTCTTCACATGTCCCTTCTCCGCTTCCAAGCGCCCCAGCGCCTTCGCTGTCAACGCATCCGACCGTCCGTGCCAAGCACTTTGGAGGGCCACCGCTGCTTCATCCGTCCGGCCAGAGGCCAACAATGAGACGCCCAGTTGGTGATGGAAGGCTGGAAAGGGCTCCTGTGGATTCGTTCGTCCCACCTGTTCGCCCGGTTGGAGGCCATCGCTAGGAGGGTGGAGGCCATGGCTACTACGATGGAGGCCGTGGGAGGGTGGAGGCCATCGCTACTAGAAGCAAAGAAAAAAGAAAAGGAACGAAGGAAAGGGCTCCTCATGAGTAGATTCGTTCGTCCCACCTGTTCACCCTGTGGCCAACGAAGACAACCGCTGCGAAGTGATAAATTAAGGTAAACCGATGCGGTCCTATCCAGTTGTTGAAAGTTGAAATCCCTTGCAATGTCTGAAACCAACAACGGACGGCTCCGTCGAAGAAGCACAGCCAGCACCAAACCAGAGCTTCTCTTTGCATGGAAACTCCCTTAGTCTCTTTAGCGAACTAAGCACTCCCTAAACAGGCATTGCCAAACATGATTGTCACCTTCAAAGGAAAGTCAGTTCAAACTGCGGGTCCTTTTCAGGGCTAGTATTGCTTGCTTCCCCTTTACTATGTTCGGTCAGCTAGTTCTCAAAATTCTCAAAAGAAATGTGGAGGCTGTCCTGTTGCCTAGTGAGGCCTAGGGCCTAGTATGTATCTCTATATTCATGTGTCTGGTCAGCTTGGGTCCGAATTCACGTGCCACGGAGTTGGGATGTCTTCACTTCTTCGCTTCTTCCTTCAGAAGGCACGTCGACGTCGCCTCTCCTGGGCAGAAGCCGCAACTGCAAAGCTCCAAAGTTGGACGCCATTCCGCCAGTGCTCCTTGTGGCCAGTCTTCAAAGCTACCACTCTTTGAAGGGCTTTGTGCGTCCCGGGTGGTGTGGGAGTTCTTTTCATTCTCCAACATGCTCCAACTACATCTTCTGAAGGGACTGAAAATGGACTGAAAACTCTATCAAAGTGATCGAAACCGAGGTAGTTGGAGCCGTAGCATACCACTGATTCTGCGGTGTCTGGTCCGGTTTTCGCCCACAGCCATCTACCTTGCACCAAGGCTCACATAATCTGCTGCTTTGGAGCCCCAACAGCAAGAGGTTCAGGGGGCAAATTGCCAAGAGCAAAGGTGGTGACCACTGGAGTAGCTTGCGACTGAAGATGCACACCAGCGGAGGCCCCAAGAGTGCCTAGGCCAGGAATTGGGACTCTTCACATGGCTGTTCCAGTGTCTCATCATCCAACCGAGACACGTTCAGCTTCGGTTCATGACTTCCATCCCAAACTCCGTGAATAAAAAAGGTAGTCGACTGTTTGGAGGCCTTGACTGGAGGTCCTGACTTCCCAAAAGCACAAGTGATCACCATCGTGTTCACCGCAAGTGTTCATCAAATCCCATGCAAGTGTTCGCCCTAGTATGATATCTGCACATGTTCTATCATTGTATCATGTTCTAGATGCAAAAAAAGGTTCAAACCTGCAGATTTGCGACAAGAATCTGAGTTGGGTGGAAACCTGGGGAATTCTGAAGTTCAAAGGCTCCTTGCCTTCGATCACCAAAAAGAAAGATGGTATGTCTGAAGTATTTCTCCTCGTAACTAAGTCAGTGGTGGCTGGAATCCTGGGAGCCAGTCCGAGCTAGCTTTTTAGCTTCGGCACCCACGGGAGAAAGCCATATCTGTCCGCCAACCAGACGGGATCGCCATGCTGGATGAGCTGTAGGCATGGAAACAGAAGAGCCAGATAAGAAATCCAAACTGCTCCAAATATCGAAGAGCTGGACAGTCTGCTTGACTTCTTGTTTCCAAGGATCGCAATTGAACTCAGGGTCAAGCAGACCAGCAGTCCCACAGCCACGTATCCCATCTGTATTTGCCAGCTTGTTAAGCCGCCTGCTACGGGGTAGAACAACATGCCAAGACCTTCTTTTGGAATGATGATGCGCCATAGATAGAGGAACACAGATATCGACGCGCGCAAGAAGTTGTTGACCATATTTAGCTGAACTGCAGTTGTCTGGACTTCTTCAGGGCTATCACTTGCAGCCTGTAAAGCCCACAATCCACTCCGCAGAGCAAGTAACCAATGGACGACTTCAAAAGGAAGCTTGTCGCACGTTCTGTTTGTCTTAGTCACGCGGAGAAGCGTGAGCAAGACAGGGAAGAAAAGCACCACAGCTTTGCACAGTGTTGCACCAAAGAATGCTATTGCTGAAACGAGATTCAAGAGTAGAGCTTGCCAGTATCGCTGATTCTTACGATTCTCGAGGGCAACGTCGAATGCAATCAGGGAGAGCCAAGCCAGTGTTGCAGACCATATGTATGGCAAGCAGGAGGATCAACATACAACTTGCACACATAGAGGGTGAACAGCAAAGCTTGAAGCTCCCAGAGCTGCACAAGACGTCCAGGAAGGACTAGGCCTCTCCTTATTAGCAATTTTCCCCAGTCTGGGACTGCTAAGTGGTGGGTGTTTCAAGTCGATGGCACAAACATGCGCAAACCCTTGCTGTTTACCTTTGCCATCCTTTGGAACAAATGATCACCCATGGCGCCCATGACCAATTGTATCAGTCGTTTTGGACTTCCGAGACTCAGTAGACCAATTCTCCGTCAAGGTCTTCGTTCCCAGAAAGGCCACAAATGCCAAGACAGCATGAGAAATCACCTCCCGCGCTTCGGTGTCACTCGGTCTCTTGACTGCGGGATACAGCGGGTCCGAGACTGAGACCGGACATGTCTTGGAGTCCACGTCGAAAACCACCTATCACCTTTTTGGAGCGGTGCCGAAACCTGTGCCGGCTTTGCCGCGCAAACATCCAAAGCACCCGAAACCTCCAACCTGCAACATGTGCAGGTTCTTCGGATCGAGATCCACCAGCTCTGCTGCCGTGGCCTCACCGGAAATGGAGAAGGCGGCGAACATCGGTCTCGTGCAGGGAACGCACGAGTGGTTCCATGTTCAAATGGTTTGTTTACATGATGGACATCGGCAAGGCACGTTCATAGGATTTCATAGGTATGTTCATCTATGAATTGATTTTCAAGGTCCGTTTTACTCTGTAGGAGGCTACGGGGACAAAGATCGACTCATATCTCGTCTGCGGGTTGATTCCACAGATTCATGTCCTACGGAGTGCCACCCCTCCGGTCTTCCAAAGCGGTCTCCCGCTGTGCGGTGCCGTGATCGTTGCCGAAAGCCACAAGCAACGTGAAAAAAGAAAAACATCTGAAATATGTTAAAATGCCGGCTGCTTAATGTAAAAAGAACTCATTATTCCCCTATCTCCTTTTGATGAAAGGCAACCAAAAGGGTTTAGATGTTTCAAGAAGCAGAGTCTTGACCGAAACGAAAAGGGACCTGAAGGACCCCGAACATCCCCGAACCTTGAAAGCCAATGCAAGCGGTTCGTAGACTCTGAGTACAGAGTTCTCACACCACCACTGAACGTTGCTGATGGACCACTTCAAACGTCGTAGCTGTGCATCATTGAAGTTCCTTGGCGTTCTGACAGGTCAAGGGTTGTAATTGGCGTGTTTTGGACATCACCGAGAGAATCGTTCTGACCAAAGTATCTAAGGAATCAGGAGCCGTTTTGGAAAAGTACAAGGTCCCGACCGCCAAAGCTGAACCCCAGTCCGATTGACCTTCAGAGTCTAGGGGCTTTGACGTCATTTGGAACTGAAGTGTTTGATTTGTTCATCTACTGTAGCACAGCAGTGGGAGAGAAAGAAGCGCTTCTTGGGTCAGGCGAGGCGAGTGCTTCTCTTTTTGTGGCTAAGGAAGGGCGTGCACATGCTGTTGCGGTGGGTGGATCAGGTGTGCTCAAGCATGACCAAGTGACTGTGTTCAGGGCCAAGACTTTTACCCCAGGGTTTGACCCCAATGAACCAAGGCTCTCAGTGTCATCCCAAACGAACTCCCAAGCACCATGAAGATTGGGATGAAACGCTGCGAGTGCTGCGAAGGGCGCCAGCAAGCCCAGCGCACGACACCACATGAGGCTCAAGAATCAAGACTCACAAACAAGGTGGCATCTCACCCCGGAAGCAACGGATCTCTCATCTGAAGTCGAGTTGAGCTCTTTTGGACCACCCGACCACCGAACCAGGCGCTCACTGTTTCAAAGGTCAGCCAGGAAGCAGGAGCAATTTGGTTTCCTATAACTGGAAAGGGTTTGGTAAGTCAGCGAGTTAGTTCCCTTGCAGCTTTGGAAGACTGGCCAAAGAGTGAGCCTGGAAAATCGGTCTAATTAGTGAGTCTTCAATGGCGATGTTTTCCATTGCCAAGACATTGAACATGGGAGAGGCTTTGCGTACACTCATGGAATGCTCATTAGACAAGCCTCGGAAATGTTGACCATATCTGACTCCCGTCGCACAAAATGGGTGCAAGGGGATGTCGTCTTTCACGGTGCCATTTCCAGTATCATTGTTCATGGTCATGTTCATGGTGTCATTTTCGCAGTGTGAACTCGTTTAGTCCACTCGTCACTATCAGTCATGGTGGGAGCCAAGGCTGCGCGGTCATGGGCCCTCAAAGGCCTCCAAGGTGAAGCCTTTGAAAAGTCCCAAGTCTGTGCCATGCAGGTTCAACCCCCCAGTTTAGAGCTTCATGGTTGGATATGGTTAGGGTATGTACGTGATGCGCTGGCCTTGTTGCTCACTTTCCTACCAACCCGTTCCCTTTAGATTTCGAGCCCTTTCACGTCCAACATTTCATCAAACAAACTTCTGACCATTCCTGCAACCATCGGGGCACCGACGTGTCATTCTCTCCGCCAATCTGCGGGAGCATCTTGCCACCCGTCTCGACCAAACTTGGTGCGGGAGCCGAGTTTTAACGATCCCGAAAGTGTGAGCCGGTGTGAGCTGAATGAAGTCACTGGTAACTTTCCTCCTACTCCCCTGACAAAGTTTGTTTGGTACCAGTGTTGCAATGTCATGTGGAAGCTAATGGAGCAGGAATGGGGCTGGGAGTGCAAAAAGCACTGCTAAAAGCTGGCCAAGCAGTGGTAGGCGGACTTATTGTTTCTTGGCCAAAAGGGCAGCCTCTGCTTCTTTCTTTGGCTATGAAACCCTCAAAATTGTCACTGAAGAGAAATTGAAAGACTGAAAATGAATGAAAATGATCTGTTCAGTGATGGATGGCGGCCTTTCAAGCCACTTCCTAGCTTCCCCGTGTTGAATTTATCGTTGGAAGGGGTGATTGTCGTGGCGTATCTGGCTGCCAAAGTCACCAGGCGCTTGTAGCAGGAAAACCAACACAGAGCACACCTTCAGATGGAGCCCAAACCCCTTTCTGTTGTAATTAGTGAGAACATCATCGTTAAGGTGGGTCCCTGTTCAGGTTCTCGATTGTCCTGCCAGACCAGTGGAGTTCCCTTTATCGCTGGAAGGTCTGGGGCGGCCTCGCCTCCTTTGTTCCTAGTAGCGTCCTTGCTCCTACTAGTACGGCCAGGAGCCCCTAGTAGCGTTCTTGCTCCCAGCACAAAAGCCCAGGAACAAGTCTCGACTCTGCTGCGAGGCATCTTCGGACTCCACGAGATTTTGATCCACGATCTGCGCATCTCCGCGCAGTGCGGAACGGTGCGGAATGGTCCGTTCTCGTTTCTTCGGAACTCAGACTTCCCCCCTTGGAGGCGCCTGTTGACTTCCCGACGGATTCCTTAGTGCCTTTGACATGTCGACTCCAAGGGATCAACAACGCGGCCATTGGTATTCATCCGTTCCAACCCATTTACCTCGTGAAAGGTAACACCGAGAGGGGATCGTCCTGACTCCAACTCAGCTGGTGAGCAAGATCATCTTTGCTCTGGATTCCGGATCAATCATTATGTACTTGATGGAAGAAGTCTTGCACCACTAGAGAGACAAAAATACCCCTTCCGGATACATCATCTAGGATGTACTGACTACGGTTGATGGAAGGAATACCATACCACCGAAGAACACCGCGGTGTCGAAGTCTATGGCGTTTTGGTGGCTCTGGAATTTCGTCCATGTAGGATCATGGTGATGGCTCTGGAAGAGCAAGCCACTGGACACCAATCAACGTGAATGAAGTTGTTCAAGGGATTGACCTGGTCCTGTACTTTGATTGAGAAAACATTAAAAGCGACCAACGACCCATTCCCAACGATGCCATTGCTGTAAACCACCAACGCCAAACCCTGCCTCTGCTAAAGGCCACGCCACCGCTGCGAACATCGCCAAGCGGCCATGCTTCAGTTCCGCCTCCCGACCGGTTCGCGCCAAGTTCGTCGTGTGTGCAACAATTGGAGCCCCTAGTAGCGTCCTTGCTCCTAGTAGCGATGCCAGGAGCCC